TAAATAACTGTTTAATTTAAAATGTTAATTTTTTTCCTAATAAAATGATTAGATAGCCATTCCTTCATTGTTATAACTGTCTTCACAATTAAAATTTAAAATAAATTTAAAAAAAAAAATTAAATACATAATACTTGAAATGGTTTGAGTAATATATTTAAATAGGGTAAATAATAAAAAAAAAACGTAATTATATACTTAGATGAAAAAACAAAATCACAAGACGGGTACCACCAATATTGACTTCGACTGAGTGCTTGTAAAAAAATCGACTCAACGCTATAATACAAACATCCGTGTTTAATACTCGTAAAAATCTACAATATTGTTGTCCTCAAAAAAATGGGTCCAAAATATCGTCCTCGGGTGCCAAATCTCGGGGTAGAACACCCATTTGTAGGATTTTGTATTCTCTCTTTTGTCCAGCTATAAACAAACAACAATAGGTTATAACCCTTTCAGTACTATTTTATGAAAAGAGTTAAGATTCGTTTTTTTTCTCTATAATTATATACAATATAGTTAAAAACATTAAATTTCCGATTTTCAAAATATTTTTAATATAATTTTTAATATTTTTAATTAAATATATATTTATATAAATTCAAGAAAAATAAAAAATAAATGTTTTTTAAACGATTTATTATTAATTAATAAAATAATAAAAAAGTCTTACTTATTAATATTTATTTTACATAAATATAAAAACTATTTTTTATTTTGATAAAGGATATTCCGTAAAACCAGTTTTTTTCACATAACAAAACATAAACGCACCTTGCATTTGCAACAAAATACGTATGTTTTCCCATTGTATTCTTCTTTTTTGGATAGAAGTTGAATATCACAATCCATAGGAAAGTAGCCAATTTCATCTTTTTGTGACCACTTCCGAAGGAGGTAAATGTTCAGACGAAGGACCATATCCTTTTTAAGGTCTTTGTGGTGTTGTAGACTGACTTGGTCTTTCTTTTTTCTTAGTTTTCCGTTGGAAGTGCAGTAAGCTGTCAGCAATTCTTGGTTTGAAATTTAGCAAGTCCAATTTTTTTTTTTTTTTGTGGGATTGAAATATTAATAATTTTTTTTGGTATTTCAACCAGGCGTTGATACACATTAAATCAATAGATAATAGAATAATAAAATTTCGATTATAGATGCGTCTATTTATGTATGTTATACAACATAAACAAGCAGTGCTAGATATAGAAAATTTGATGCACTAAGCAAATAAAAATGCATTACCTTTGTGTAGGTGGAAGTACAGGGTATGTCCATGACTTTTTTTTATTTTTCATAAACTTAAGAGCGTCTTTATACCATCAGCGCTCGGGATAAGCATGTCCACTTACTTCTTCGTAAATCCTCTGTATACAAGTTATTTTTGTGTTTCGTCATATTTTATTACATTCTATTGAACGTTTAAATTTTAATATTTTTATGGCTTACAAAATATATAACATGTATTTTTTGTACGAATAAAATATATTTAGATCGAAAATATTGAAAAACTGTAATTGATTTACACATAGTTTAACTTAAGTAGGTATAATGCCTTAGTACCTGTATTGACCATTAATGTTATTTATAAATTCAAAATAAACTTAAATGTTTCGAAAATAAAATAATCACGATTGACAATCACCCATGAATGCATTACATAATTGAATATTACTTAATATACTTCATAATTTTTAATATACTTGCCTAGAATGTTTTGACTTTCTTTCAAACCGTTTATCACGTTGCTCAATGAATAGAATACTAATGTTACGATAGCCATCAAAATTAAATACATACAAATAGTATCAAACAGTAGAAATACAAAACTATTATCGGCCGAACAACTTTCAGTTCTGTTAAATAAATCGAACATGTTATTGATGAAAAAAATAATTTTTTTTTTTATACTACACATTATAGCCATTTCGTATTATCTATAGACACTTACTTAAATATCGGTTGAATTTTTTGAAATGGTCGAGGTGATGAGGTTGCAGGAGTATTTTTTTTCGTTATGTTTAAAAGAAAATCGTTTTTCAATTCCATACTTAACTGTGTAAAAACTGTATCTGACAACCATTCAGCTAATTTTTCATCGCCAATTTTTCTTAAGCTGTCGGTTATAGTAATAAAGCTTTTTTCTTCTCCCACGCTTTTATTCCACATCATTAGTAATGATAAACATGGCTCGTCTGACGGCAATTCTTGTTCTGGAATTCAATATGATTTAAAATAAATATAATTTAATATTTATTTCAATATAAATTTATAAAAGTTGTAATAAGATTGTATTAAGATATTGAAGAAAATAACCATTGTATGTACAACACTATTTACACTTTTATACCGTACAGCATTTTTAGTATCCAGTAGAAATTCTGTAATAAATAACATTAATAATTGTAATAAATATTTTTAAAAACTAGTGAACAAAATAAATATCTACACATATCAAAAAAAGGGCGAAATTTTTAAGTTGGGTGATATTCCACGGTCGGCTGAGACACAGTGATGCATGAATGATATTGTTGTATTGACCTCGAACTTGAAACCAACGTATACGTATATACGCATACATTAATGCTCTCGAAAAAACGATTCTGAGTGAAAGAAATCGGGTGTATATAATACTTATGACAAGTTGAAAAGTTCTAACGTCCCTCATTGAGGATCTTTTTACATGCATTTTTACAAAGAATATAGTCCTCATTCTATATGAGTTAAACTGACTTGAAAATTCATACATATTTGTCTATTTTTGTTTTAACAATACCAATTATCTTGATTTGACACATTTTTTTTTTTTTAATTTTTGCGTCTTCTGTCGATTATCATTGTAAATGGAGCCATTGATAGAACACATTTCCACTGACTAGTCACCTATTCAAGTTGTTCAGACATTTATTGACATTAATTAAGTTTCGATCCTGATATTTTTGATCTTGGATATTCTAACGTGTATTTTTTTATTGACTTCATAAACTAACATAATATATATAATTTTGAACCCCCCCTCCTACCATTGGACGATTCAAAAAAATGTTATTGCTTACCGTTACCACCTTTCTGCTGTTGATATGTGCATTGCAATTTATCAATTTTTATCCTTGCAACGTGTTACAATTTTGATTAAATGTATTCGAAGAAATAAAATATAATTTTTAAAAATATGAATGAATAATTCTTATTATTTTAAAAAATGCTTGTACATTTATTTTTCGTGCATAGTTTAAGATTAAAATGCATATAAATGCTTATTTTGAATTTTTTAGCATATATTGAATGCATATTTTATCAAATGTTAGTGCATTATTGCATGCTTATTTATGCTTGAACTTGCAAACTCTGGTTATGACCATATAAATGAGATGATAACCTTCGACATTGACTTTATCATACTTGTATAAATATATTATTCCAAGTCTGAATACGATCACTCCAGAATTTCGTAAGAAGTCCAATTTACTATTTAAATTAAAAAAAAAAACTTTAGAATTATATAATAAGTATATTTTGGGTTTCTAAGATATATGTATGCGACAAACGATTTGATTATACAATATTATACCGTCTATAAGGTATTCTAAAACCTGCACGTAATAAGAAACTTGGCATACTTATAGAGTATACGAAATATCCATTTACGCTTTCCCTAATTGTATTCCTAAATTATTTTTTACTTCTGACAATAGTGTAGTCGAAAAATAACTGTAGCATTATCGTACATTATCGATCGGCTCTTTTGTTATTATTAATAATTTAAATGATCACTTTAGTACTGGTACAGAGTTTACTACTTATTTAAGGTGGCATAAAATTATTATTTTTTTATCACTATACGAAAAATATTGTTGTTGTTGTATTCACAAAAAAATCTCGTCTTAGCTTAAACACTTGAATTCAATATGGGCCAAAAGGCACATTTCAATACGAAGAAATAACCACCTACTCGTATTTAATGTTTCAGTGGAATTGAAAATATATTCACAGAGCTATGATCGGCAAGTCCGCTTTGATTTACGTAGTTGACCAGTAACTACTGGTATAAACTTATAGTATTATTTTCCAAACGAACAATGGAATAAACCAGTGTTGCACACGTGATCATCGCAATTATCGCACAGTTGATCAACGTTGAAATCTATGAGGATATTGTTGTTATACTCAAGAAAATGTGCACGCTCACAATAGGCACAACTAGGGGGGTAGGGGGATTAGACCTCCCGAACCCAGATTTAGCTCCCCCTTAAATATTCCATGTTACACATGGCATACCGCATACAGCATACTTAACTCACAATAGTGTTACATACAAAAAAAAGACACATTGCAGTAAATCCAACTTGGCTCAGAATCTAAAATATATTAACATGGTATATAAGAGTAAGAGTAATCTACAGGTTATTTCAAGTTTTGGCAGGAGAGCTGTAGCCTCCTCAGATTTTTTACCTTAGTCGTGCCTATGACGCGCACAACGAAATGTGTGCGGAATCGTGTTAATTTGTAGAACCGTTGGTTTTTTCAATTAAAAACGTGGGATTTAATTTTTACGTTGCGGCTTTCACGACGATTAGTGTTTGTGTATTGTTCGCGAACAACAACTCACGTCGACTTACCGAGTTCTTGGACAGCTGTACCGTCGAGGTCCCCAGCGTACAAATGAGCTGAGAGCTTCAAACATTCACGCGGAGTCAAATGGTTGGCCAAGTACATGAACATGGACAGACTCACGTCCGGCACGGAGATGACGTTCGACACGACCGCACAGAACGCGACGAGGACCGAACGCATTTGTCCGTACATGCCAATTTATCTCCGGACTTCAAACGGTAAATCGAGATTAAACGGCACAACAATGTACGGCTATACGCTGTTCAGGAATGCAATTCATGCGACCCCCAAGGACTGGCTGTTTGTCCACGGATACTGCACGCGTCCGTTCGTCCATAGAGGCGCGCGTACGTATTACGAGTTGTTTAAGAAAAAAAAAAAGATAAAAGTAAAAATCGTAACACGAACATTTCAAATTTATTTCAACAAAATAGGGCAGGATCAAGTCCCGCGCCGGGTCCATAGTGTAAATTTGCGTACACGGACCAACAACAACAATAATAATAATAACAGAAATAGTAATAATTATAATAATAATAAATGTAACGCGTCGCGGTGGCCACAGCAGTCTTTTGTATCACGTTCTTCGCGACAGCGGACGGCGTTGTACTTCATTTCTTCTTGCCGGTGTAGTCGACGTTCGGTACGCCCAAGCTGGTCTTGAACGTGTCGTCGGTGGTCAGCGGCGGGTAACGGGTTCCACCGTCCTGGTCGACTACGTGATGGTGGTGGACGTCGTCGTGGTGATGGATGTCCGTGGCCACGGCGGCGTCTTGCTGCTGTTCCTGTTGCAACAGCGAATAATCGTCTTGGAATGTCTGCTGCTGCTGCTGCTGCTGCTGCTGCGCCACCAATTCGTTCACGTCGTACTCGCCGCCGGCCGCTGTCGTCCTGAACGCAGCCAACTGTTGGAGGTAGGACGTTGATGAGTCCGCCGGGTACGCGGCTGCAGGGTACGCGGCCGCAGGGTACGTGGCTGCAGGGTACGTGGCCGCAGGGTACGTGGCCGCAGGGTACGTGGTTGCAGGGTACGCCGCGGTACCGCGGTAGTGCGGAGCGTACCTGTGCGAGTGCGCCGGGTACCTGACCAACGGTACCCGGGCGACCGGTACACGGGCCGCGTAGTGCACCGCTGTCGGCCTTGCGACGGTGGCCGTCACCGGTAACGGGCGGTACACCGGTACCGGGTACGGTTTGTACACCGTCACCGGGTACGGCTGGGCCACGGGCACCGGCACGGGTTTGATCACCGGCACCGGGTACGGGCGGTTGACGGCCACCGGGTACGGGCGCGGCACTTCGACGGCCACTGGACGGGCCACGGGAACCGGCACCGGGTGCGCCACGGGCACGGGCACCGGTTTGTGCACCACGGTGGTGGCCGTCGGGTACGTGTGCACCACCGACTGGTAGACGACCGAAGGCTGCTGCTTCAACCCGTGCACGGACGCTGCCTCGTAACCGTGGTAGTGGCCGTGGTAGTGGGCGGGGGCGTAGCTGGTCGCGTGGTAATGAGCCGCGGGGGCGTAGCCGTGAGCGTGCGCGTATTGGATCGGCACCGTTGCCGCGTAACCGTGACCGTGGTGGTAATGCGCGGCCGCGGGGGCATAATGCCCGTGGTACGTGGCCAGCGCCGGCGCGTAATGCGAATGATAAGACGGGGCGTACTGCAGCCCGTGGTACTCGCCGATGCTTCTCCTGTTCGCGTGCTGTTTGTCGGTAACCGGAGAGTCATCGTCCGCGGACGTGGCAACCGGTTCGCACCTCGTCGTATCGATTATCGCTAGCGCCGCACACACCACGAAACAGGACTCCTGGAGAACAAAAATCCATCGTTTTCAAAATGCTGGGAAACAACGAATAAAAGCTACCAATACATTTGGTAACTGTACACCGTGTCTTTAATTATATCTATACATATTTCCTTTAAATACCGTATTACTGTTGGGAGGGCTCTCAAGATCTTGGGCTTGTTAAAACGTAAAACTGTTACTCTTCTCTCACTCCTACATGTCCGTTTGGTACGGTCGATACTAGAATACAGAAATCCTGCCTGTCTTGCAACCATTTACGAGTAGAACGGGTGAAAAATCGCTTTTCACTGAAAATTGATCTGCTAAAATTGATCTATACAACCATAGTCCCATTCGTACATAATATATCAACTTCGAGTCGTTTCGACGCTTTCATATCTTCCCCCTTCTTAACGATAGAAATATTGACGGCCCCGATCTACTGCTATCCCTACCCACTCCAATGGAAAGCTTTTATATTTCATATTCTCATGTCTTGATTGTGACTATATGAAATAGGGTACTTCATATAGTCACGATCAACAAATTCGCAGAACGCTACGACGTCTTAACTCAACACTTGGTTCCGGACCTTTTCCACTCGGACTGTAACCCATATTGTCATACCTAAAAAATCTTAAATGAATTTAAACGTAATGTGTTTAAACAAAAGTGTGACGAAAGATTGTTGAAATGGAAAAAAAAAATTGTTGCGATCAAGTGTTCTTACCGAAAGATCGGAAAAAGCACGTTGCACGTAATATTATGTTATCATGGACTACTTTAATAATTATACTACTGTACCGATCAAGCACTGCAACATTGCGCGCCACGCACGTTATCCGAAGAGAGAAAAATTACAATAATAATACCCTATGTAAAAATAATCACGGTGGTGTACTGAAGTTTTAGTGCGTGCAAACGGCGTGTAGAAAATAATTATAACAGGACGTCGTTCGATCGCCGCAATACGATAATGGTCGACGGTTAAAGGAATTATGTTTTCAATCACGACGTTTAAATAATAGGATTTATCGCGTGTGTAATTTTGCGCTGCACGCACAGCAATGACGCCGAAGCCTTGAACGTTTATCTGCGTAAACGCGCCCTAAAAGTCGAATGCATATGTCCTCGAGGATCTGTGCGTCACACGATCGTCGGACCTTTTCACCGCGTCCAAACGGCCACGACGTACGACGACGACGCGAACGTTTTTCCGTGCGTGTATAATAACGTTGTTGTACTTACCGAAAACGATTTCATGGCGACCGTGTTGATGTTGAAGTTTTTATTTTGTTCCGAATGTACGAGCTTGAAGACGAACAGAACGAATGAATGACATGACTACCGGAGTATCGGTTTTATACGCCGACCGATCGATTGCTTTCACTGAATTGGATTTTCGGACTGGAAAGTTCCACGTGCGCGCACAATATTGTCGTGTGTCGATCGGAAATGCAGCTCACGGGAAAAATAGTAAAACGGAACCGATATGTGCTGCGTTATGTCACGAGGACGGACCGTCATATGAATGGACAATAACGTGGAAGTGTCGGATGTAAGATAACATTAATACGATGCGTCCCGAGTGCCAAAATGTGCGTCAACTCTACACGACACTCGTATATTATGATAATAATAATTCACGTGTAATAAATAATCCGAACGAATGACGAGAAAGTGAAAATAACAATTTAATAATACGCTTACGCGTGCGATATTATTGTTTTCGTAATAATATATATACTTAAATAATGTTTTTACAGACCGTAGCTTATGAAATATTTATTTTTTATTTAATGCCATTCGGCGGCGTTTAGTCGATTGATAGAATAACTCATACAACGGTACATACAATCGTACACAAATTCCGTTATCGGGGGTTGGATTTAGTGGCGTATATAGGAGGGTGCCTTGTGGGCTACAGCCCCCTTCCCCGAAATGTTTCAAAAAATTTAAAAATATTTAAAACGTTTGTTATGTTTTAATGGTGTTTTATGCTTATTCAGAAATAATTTTATATAAAAAAAAAAAAAAAAAAATAGAAACATGATTTTAATCTGGTTGCATTTATTTTATTCAATTGTAGGTACTTCAATAGTCCATTAAAATATATGGTTCTCAATTTATGGTTCAATACTTGTTATTAAGAGTTAATTATATAATACGAGTAAATTGTATTCATAGCATATTTTATTATAGAAATAGTCCAGTAGATATATATATATATATTAAATAGTCAAGTACCACATTATATATCCTTTGTTCATAAATACAGGATTATACTTACTATAGGAAATACGTAAATAATATGATCAGTTGAGACAATTTTTATTGCCTTTGTCAAATAATTTTGGGATATTCTGTAAATGAAATGTACCTAAAGTACCTAATGTGTATTGTTAGTAATTCTTAGATAGCAGTGGCAATTTAACTCTGTCCATAGTAGACCCTTCCGAAAATACTTTCTGTATACGCCACTAGTTAGTTTACTATATATAGTGTGTTTGTGATGTTTTATCAAAATGATTTCTGGATCATTTATGTTTAGGCAGTTATATTAATCTCAGATATCGAGTAAGGTTTTTCAATGAAATAGTTAACTAGTTCATCAAAATTACATAAAAAACTTAAACTGTTATTAATATTTCGAAACGGGAATTAGAGAACAACTCAACTGCTGTTAATATTGTGTAATGTATATCGAAAAAGACGTTGAATCGAATTTTATTACTACTACTCGTTCAAACAATTATTTAAAGCTAAAGTAATCACCCACCACATAAGAAAATATAACAAATAATTTGTATGTTTTAGTACTTGACATGTTAAGTATAATAATTGTTATGGTTTTTTTTTTTAAATTAAATAAATTGATATGTACCTGTATCGAGCCTTTCACTTAATATTGTGACATAATTTAATTGCTAAGAACAATAATTGGCCGTATTTATCAAATCTATAGTAAGATCTATAAATTAATTTGACACCAATAATTTAAACCTACATATTAAATTATATATCTACATAAATAATAATACCACCATTCACAATAACGTAAATTATTACTAGATACAACCCAATTCATACAATCAAAACATGTTTAAGATCATTTAGAATTCGATACGTTTTTAATTAAACAACTATAATAACTCTCGATATTGTTACAGTTTTATATATGTATGTATTATTACACACGAACTACGTAAAAATATGAAAATTTAATAATAAAATGTTAGTATTTTATTCATATATGTATATATATACTAATTTAATTGTTTTAAATCTATTAAATCTAAATTTATTCAAAAATGATTTCATAGTATGTATGACGTAAGAGTCAGTACTTACTTACATTGTAAACTGATTTTTAAAATTAATTCAATGTATACATAAGTACATAATTTAATGTATTTTTATTCGATAAAATATATGTGTGAATTTCTGGGTTGAAATCTAACTGAAATATATGAACTGTATAACAAATAATCGTTGTAATATACACATAAAAAGAGTTTTACCTATATATATATTTTTTGCAGCCTTCAGACATTTTTTTGTATTTTTTTAATAACATTTTCTTTTTAATCGTGGGCGATAAGGCGATAAATAAATAATTATAATTATTCAACCAGCAGTTCTCTTGTTGGAAATGTATTAACTGGAATAATATAGCTGTGATAATTAGTTGATATGGTTGTAATATTTATGTGATTATAATATTAGGTAGAAATATTTTTAAATATAATTTTTGACTCGCGTAGTAATAAAAAATAAAGATGAAAATGAAATGATGAATATGATCATATTATTATATCGGAAAATAATTAAGTAATATTGAAATGTATAGAATTCGATTTATTTTTGACTGCGAAACGCTTTTTACTTACATTTATAAATTAATTTTACTAAAAATATATCACCCTCGGCAGCTACTTATTTTTCCTGTTCACTAAATCTGCGAATAAGATTGATCGTTTTCCGTTGTCACGTTTAATAATTACAGTTATTTACGCGACGTGTTAATAGTTTGCCATTTATTACGGCGCGTAATAAATGTAAAATAAATATTAGACGAAAACAATGAGCAACGTCTTATTGGATTTATTTATCGAATTTGTATTCTTAATTTTTACCTACTTCTATGCGTGCGTAACAGAAAAACAAATCCTATGATCACGAGCGACGTATCCACACGGTAAAAATAATAAATCGTTACGCAACCGTTTAATATGAATACTCAACCGAATAGAATATATCGTTCCATTAGAGGGCATGAGAAAATATCAAGTATTCATCACACGTCCGCTGGCCCTGCTCCATTTTTCAACGCATGTGCCGTTCTTGTTAAATAAAATAATTAACGTATACGTATGTATTTTTTTTTATCGTTACACTACCATCGCTATGCTACTTCACCTGAATACGTGTCATTTTCGCGCGGATCGAACGTCGTTCGTACGGTTCAGTTATCAGTGGCGTATTTAAGAATTTCAGGATAGGGGCAACACATATTTTGTCCCCCACACCCCGTAAAAAAAAAAAAAAAAAAATGTTGTCACTAATTATTATTATTTATTAAAACCTATATTAATTGCTAGATTCACAATATAAATACAAAATTCAAATCTTTTTCTTCCTTGATTCAGAACTATCAAAATCATTTATTATTTTTTTCAAAATCTAATGAAATGGTTATTTCAACTTCAATTGATAATACCGCTAAAGCCGAGCAGCGGTGTTGTGCCATTGTAGACCGTAAACAGTTTTTTTTATTATTTTTAATGTGGAAAAAGAACGCTCTGCGCTACAATTTGTAGATGGTGTAGAAAACAAAATACGTAAAGCTACTTCAACACAGGGATAAACACTAATAACATCAGTTCTCTTATAAACTGTAACATCCGTATTGTTTAAGCTTAACTTCAATGTTTTTTATATGGCGTTGAAATTGTACACGCTGATTTACAAAACGTGTTGCTAAATCATTTGCGCAAGTTGTGTCAGCGTGTAAAGTACGAAATAAAAAAAATTTTCCGCCCCTCTAAATCTTTAAAAAATTGCCGCTCCGGGCAACCGGACCCGTAGCCCCTACCTGAATACTGTTTATTATGATGTAGGCAGTGTGCCCGTCGAATTTAACAGTCGAATACGTGCACGCGTGGATGGGCTTACGAGCTTACCGAGCAGTGTAACGTTATTGTTGCGTTGCGTGCAAACGGACACGCTGACACTACGAGACGGCCGCACAGGGATGACAAAAACATTACGGGTTTTGTCGTTCGATCGGTCGGACTCAACGGCAATGATATATAATATATATATGAAATATACGTCCGGAGGCGGGCGCACGCTTATTAATATCGGTTAGGTTCGAGAGAAACGCGGTACAATTGTTGGCCGCAAACATGTACTAGTGGTGCGTATCCGAGAACGGACTTCGATCGGTCACGTTTCCATTCGATTCCATTTATTATTATTTTCTCCTATCAAACTCAGGATTACAAAAACGGTTTTTTCTGCACGCACGGCGCGCGCTGCAACGACGACGATTGCTCAACGTAACGGTTCGCCGACCCGTTGCCGGTACGAGTGTACGGTGGTGACAACCCGGCGGCAGTGTTGGATCTAGTGGTGGGAGGGGGCAAGTGGGCGCTGTTGGTATAAGGGCTCTGTTTAGTCGATGAAAAATAAGAAAGAGTCATGGACATGCCAATTCCATCTACGCGAGGGCGCTGCGTTTTTACTAGCCCCGGGCGTCAGATTTCCTAGATTGCCCGGCGGGACCGGCTGCGAAACGAGCGCGCGCGAGATCTTCGAGAGAAACCAGAACGTGCGCGTTGCGGGTGCTTCGGTTCGGAGCGCGAAACTGTTCGGCATCAACGCGTTGCGCAACGACCGTGTGCGCAACCGCCCTTGTCCTGTTTTCGAACGGTTCGCGTGTGCACCCCACCGGCGGACGGGAACGCGACCGCTCATCGTTCGATTCTCTCGCGGGCTCGAGACGGACCGCTCCGAGGGGAGTGACGATCGTAATTGCACGCGGACGGTACCATGAGATAAGCGCCATGGGATTACGTGGGATTGTTAAACACGCATCGTCGCAGATCAGTACACGACGCGTGTAATACGTAGTACCGTAGGCGTGCAAGAGACATGTGAGCCCTGGCGCGTTCATCAAGTTAGACCCACCGAGTTGACGGACAAACCTAATATTTTGCAAATTAATTGATAGAATTTGTAAATCACCCTCCCCCCTTGGAAATAAACATTTTTCGTTTGGGGGAGGATGCTAACTTCATGTGGTCCCACCAATTTGACCGATTTAATCGGAACCAACGTCAATAATAATACTAGATATTCGGCAGGACTCATGGGTCTTCCCTAACTGAAATCACAAATACAATAGTTTATATATATACGAGTATAATTATAATATATTCTATTTTATATTGTTATTTACGTATGCTGTAATTTTTTTTTTTTTACACTGATTTAGTAATTTCTTTGATCCAAAATAGAAATATATTTCCCAGGTGAGATCGACTAATTCAATTATAAATCTTAAACTTACAACTAACAACACTTATAATTAGGCAACAAATATTTGATGTTTTTGAATTACATAACTCCATTACATTAAGCTATGTTTATTATACATGTATGATGCATTGCAGGTGTGTAGTATCAATGATAGTATAATACGTTAGAAATCAGAAATTTTATTTGATATACTATACGAAAACGTATACAATTTTGTAATACCAAAATTTATGTTTATATTTACTAAATGCGTGAGATTTTAAAACTATAATTAAAACATAAAATATTCATTCCGTATGCTTTATATTACTCTGTCTACTTATTCGTTGTAACAATAAAACTATAAGGCTGAGCTTATTGCGAATTGTACGAAAAAATAATTAAAATCAACATTTTCAAAGCTTAATTATTTTAATTATACATTTGCTTTCCACCGTGTATAATTAATATACTAACCTTAAAACAATTTGTATTTAGGCACAAACAAAAGAATAATATATTTATTTACTACACGTATATTGCATACGCACGAAGTTCGCTCAATATTGTAAATACGTTTTCGTCGTATAATATCACAGCGTAAAATATTAAATAAAAAATTCAACCACACTAAGGTCCGGTAATATTTTGATTTAAAAATCGCATCAACCGTAAATCGTTTTAAATCATTATGCGCTCTAACGAGGGGTCGTGTAGCAAACGCACCGCCAACAATATGGAACTCGCGGGAATGCGAGTTTATGATTTATCCCAAGGGTCGACAACTGGCGGAAGGCAATACTCTGGACCATGTGAACTTTTATTTTCATACTCCTTACATTGTAATTTTTATTATAAATTAATTGTAATAACAAAACAATTATTTTTATTTTTACACCGCTATTTTTAAAATAATATAAAGATTTGAAAAAGATGGACCTCATTGATTTATTATTTTGATCTTCAGGACTCCGATGTAAATTACTTGTCGACCCCTGATTTATCCCATGCGCTTGTAACGGAATCGTCCGCGACACTGCGTGTCGTTATTCGTTATTCGTTACACAACAACCACACAGAAATAACAACAACAACAACAACAGCAACTATCATGAAAATATAATATCGCGTACAAACGAAACGTACCTAGGTCAATGCGTGCTAACTTATTACACGCGTGCGACGACGAAAACAATTAAACTTGTACCGGTGTGACCTTTATTATTAATTTTTTTCTGTTCGCGCGAACCGGTGAGCGGACGTCGCGTGCTAGACGTTTCTGCACAAGAACGGCGATCCAATCCCCCGTACGCGGGCACGAATCTTCAATCGGACCTAAGTGGGATATCGCTTCTGCCCGAGGTGTGATCGCGGCTTCGCGCCCGTGGTGGGGTCGCGCGATACTCTTCTCACGTATAAATAAACCTCTTGGCCGTCCGTCGACTGCTGTTAACGTCAAGGGTTGTATACGCGTGTACGTATTATATCGTTATTGTTATCCCGTCTGTTGTGTGTTTTTTTTTCTCTGACTTTTCTCTTTTGTACGTCTAAACGAAAACGATGAAGTACGCGGTAAGTGAAACGATTGATTAATAATTATTACGAACAGATACCGTGTTGTATTGCAACCGTTTCGGAAATAGGTACACACCGAGTTAAGTCGAACTCCGTTTGTTCGCGTGCAGTCGGTTTTTGGTCCGCTTAAAGATCATCAAACATGTTTTATTTTAATTCTATTAGTATTTTTTTTTTTTTTTAATTGTTATATATTATAATAATTTTACCTTTTTTTCGGATAAATGTATGTCTTCGGTTTGGGCATTGATTAAGTATACGTATATTGCATATTTAATCTATGGTTTGGGATACTAACATTTCGCACGTTTACAATAGCGAAACTGCGAAAATCACTCTAAGACTGGAAACTACTGGGGTCCGAAATGTCAGCTCACAACTGCAAAACATACGAATTTACTCAAAAAATAAATATTATATTATTGACACAAGATAAAGATATAATAAATTCATACACTTTAACAAATATTTGTATTTTTCAAATAATAATAAAATGCATTATAATATTTCACATAAAATATTACTTTTCATATGAATGACGGAAGAATTTAGTTTTGAAATAAAGTATATGAAAAATAAATATATGAATTAAAAAACGAGATATAATTTTGGTATTTTATTAAAAATTACGTATAAGTAAAAATAATATATTTGTGAAAAAAGATTATAAACACAATATATTCATTAAAATAAACATAAAAAAAAAAAAAAAATTAATAGTGTTAAAAATAATAGTGTTAAAAAATACTATAAATTTAGAACCGTACCCTAACATTTTATCTAATAATTGATCAATGCTTGATGAATAATACATACAATGCATATATTTACTAACTTAGATTACAAAAAACGATTGTTTACGATAGAAAAAAATTAAAACAAAACTATTGTTAACTTTATAACATTACTTTTCAATTAACAATTAAAAAAGAATACATATTTTTCTGTATTGCTGTTTGAAATAATTATTATGGGGAATTGACAACTTCATTATAATTGTGTAATAATAATGAAAATCACGATCATATAATCTTATAAACAATAATAATTAAAATATATAATGAAAAACAATATTTTTAATCATATTAATATTTCTGCTTTTACATTTATAATCGCGTAACTATCATCTATGGTTATTGTGGGAATAAACCGGTTTTCTAGACAGTAGCTAGATAATTTTTGTTTTAAATTTTTGTCACTACATTATTACAAAAGTGATATGAATTTGTATCACATTCAAATTCTAATATTTAAATCTTAAACGAATTAATAAAGAGATCTCACCTGTATTGAATTTTTTATGAAATATATTAATTTGAAGCTTAGAAAATAGTACAATACGCATATTATTAATTGTATGATTTCTACAGCAATGATTTACTAATATAAAATATACATTTTATTATAATTGAATAATATTTTCATTTATACATGTGGTATGTATTTTTAAGGGTCTATGGTAAGACAAGTTAAAAACACAAGTCTGCATTGTAATAAATTGAAATAAACATTTTAAATTCATACAGTTATTTATCATTATATAATTGTGCAGTAAAATATCACTTTTAAAGTATAACGCATTCTATAAATAACTGATAAATAATAATAAATTAATAAATGTATATATTCATATAAGCTCGTGATGAGTACGAAAAAATGATGATTTTTTTTATAAATTACAAGTAATATTATTATCTAGGATACCTATTAGACTGCAATTGTATTATCATTAATCTAATGGAAATACAATTTTATAATATAAAATATTTGAATATTTATTTTAAACTATACAATCATATGTTGATTCCAACTTAATATGGATTGAATACTATAATATTTTTGGCGGAAAAAATTATTTTACCTTAATAGCGTTAAGTCTATTGTAATTTTCAACCTTAACAATAATAATAATTTACTGTATAATATTATAGCAATGGATAAGAAATAATTATTCAACTTCTAATTTGCATTTTACTTTATAGACTAAAATATACTCTCGTGAGAATAACATTGAATAATTATAACTATATTGCTTTTTAATTTGTACGAATCATTTCGTTCATAAACTACAACTGTTTCAATTGATTTTTTAACATGAAATTCTATAAACTATATTTGATAAGCGTCTAAGAAATGTACGAAAAAGCAATCCGTTTTTATTATTCAATAGTTTATAGGTTGGCAAATCACATAAACATCGACTTTTATACTTAAATTTTTAATAATTCGATTATTTTTCTATATCAAAAATAATTAATCAGTTTTTATCCGTAATCATCGTACCACAATGAACCAATATATTTTTATTTTTACTTTTTTTATTAATAAGTCACAACAACTATGGTTGTTGACTTTTGTAATACATAATGAGGTAATATAAACATGTGTTTAGATAAAGAGCATTACATTTTATACATATAAAGATGAACCAATATATTATATTCTGTACATGAATTAAATCTACTCTATTTTACGTTACAGTTACGTCAACATGTCAAATTTTAAAATCATTTCATTAAGATCACGTTTTATTCGGATTGATTACGCGCAGTTCAAGTTGGTTTACTCGGAACCTAAAATAAAAGAAAAAAAAGAAAAAGAAGAATATTATTTTTTTTTGTTGCTCTAATATCGTTCAACGTGCGCGCGTACGAGTCGCAAACCGTTTGCACAAGTGTTGTTCCGATTGATGGGAAAAAAACGTTGAACCGAATACCGTACGAACGTCAATAAAGTATCTGTTGCGCGTGCCCACACGTGATCCCCTGTCGCCGTCACCACTGTACATAATTCGGGTGTGAAACTTGGTCGGTGTCCAGTAGCGACCGTTTGCATACGCGATTCGGTCATCAGAGAGTTACGGTTGCACAACGTCAATATTCGGATTAGTATTCATCGCCCGGCACCGCACACGCTTTTACCACGAAAATTCTATACGCGATTACATTTCTCCGAATTATCATTATTATCTGTTTCACATACGCAAGAGTAGAGTTTTTCGGATACGCGCCCAAACGCATGCCTGGAATCGTTATTGTCTCGTTTTTATTTATTTATTTGATCGTCGCGATATTATTATTCGGATAACTGGACCGTGATATCGCATGACAGCGTAATTTTCTGGTCATAAATAAATTTTCTCGTACACAAATGTTATTCAACACCCTTAACGGTACTGGAACGCTGGGCGGTCAATGCTGTGTTTCGCTCAGCCACTGGCCGTTTGTTTTTACACATTTCCCACCAATTACTACTGTTGATAGTGAAGCGCAAACGTTTTAGAACATTTCGTTGAATCCGAAATAAACCGCGCCAGCACCACACGTTGTTGCTATAAAAATAATTCTCGTTACAATATGCGAAATCCGATCGACTTGACATAATCTGTTGATGCTGCAGACGTCTTCCCGAGACATAGACACGTGATATTTCACGATTTACAACTATTGCTAGACAATATTAGATAAAATACATGGTCGATAATCATTTCAATTTTTACGTACGAAGTAAAGAGGTTACATATGGTGTTACAGCAACAGATTTCTTAATGCTCGTTTCCGGTATAGAATTATTCTTTTGATAGATCTGTACTCGTACGCTTGACTATGTTTGAGTTTGCGTAAATGTGATAACTCAATTTGCAGCGCAAAATTACGTTGATCGTATTATATGAATTTTCAAATATTTCAATACGGCTTTATACAGTTTTATAAACGTACGTTTAACAGGTGTTCTTTTTTATATAAAATCTTCTACAAACAATTAATGAGTGGATTAACACGTTGAGTGAGCCATCTTCGATTTTTTTGCTGTCTTGCGATCTCAAATTCAATTAATCATACCAATTTAATACGTATAAATATTAAAGTTAACTCTGGTATTATTATGAAATAAGTAATGGCATTTTCACGATCCCTTTATTTTACTTTAAAAACTTGTGAGGTTATACTTCGTGTTATAACATCATATAAGTATATTGCGTTCCAACTAACGTGTGCGCCTACTACCATAAGTTTGAAATGACATTTACCTAAAAATATTAACTAATAAAATGGTAGTATAAACTCAATCAATTAATAAGATTTTTTTTTATTTCTATGATATTTATATTGGGTTATATTTTGTATTTCAGAGCAATATTGTACATATTATTTTTACATTTTTAATGATTCTGTTATGATTGATTTTAATAAGTATTGATAAAATCTACAGCATTAAAAATAAAGTGTTATTTATTTTATTTGTAAATAAAACCATCCATATCATCGATATGTATTGAAATTTATTCGTATATCGTTTAAAATGGCGTAAAAAAAAATATTTTTATCTTTAATTCAAACAGTCATAAAATACAATTTATCATTCGTTTTGTAGAATATTATACTATGAAAACATCAAATTAATTTTTAAAGCTTAAGTTTAATATTAATATAATTTTGCTATATTGAGAGTGAAAATTAGATATAGTGGGCCCCGAATATGTATAGTTCTGTTCCGCGAACTATTATTAGTACTATTGTTAGGACATTTTTACTAAATCATTATAGTCGGCGTATTGTATAGGCAATTTAAGTACATATTTATTTTTAAAGTTTACATTTTTCAGTTTACTCGAGTTTTTAATTAATGACTGTAATATATATTACTATAAATTAATTTCAATAAATAATGCAAGTAACAGAAACAACGGTTCTGTTAATTAATTTCTGCAAAACATGTCTGATGATGATTTTAACAAACTATTGTTATTCTGTGTCACATGGCGCATTCTTAAATTCATCACACTTTCTTCGTTGCGTATACACCACGCAATCAACAACGTTTTCTCAACACGTGTACCGGTGTATATATTATCAGTAATGGCTCAAGACCAAGATAACGGAGGAGGGAATTTGTTCAGAATTTAAAGAGCACGCATATATGATAACACGTTAGACGGTTGTACCGGGGCTTAAAATAAATATTTAAACTATTAAGCCGGGTTCACACTACATCGTGACGTGTATTTAACTAGACCGTGTGCTTTGAAAATGTGTGATACCAATATATATCTTATGGTGATACTATCAAATTTTGGTTACATATTTTCGCAGTTTTTTTTATTAGATATGAAATATTTTCATAAGTTTCAATAAATAATAACTGATGAATATTAAATTATATAGTAGACAGTATGTATTATATTATTATTAGGGCTCGGAAATTAATGCGCTTAAAAAACATTAAATATGCATGCACTTATGCGCTTAAAAAAGTACAAATACGCTTCAAAAATATGCACTAAATTTTTTTTAACGCAAAAATGTTCATAAATATATTTTATTAAATATACTCGTACATAACAGTATAAATTTAGTTAGTATATTATACTAAGCTAAACATAATTTCTAGGTATAAATATATAAGATAAGATAAAATAAAATAAATAGTTTGAAATTTGAAATTATCTTTCAAAATGTTCCCATTAGGTTTTTCAGTGTCCTGAAAATAATTTCAAGGCAACATAGCAATAAATTGAATAATTAAATAAAATCATGCAAATGTAACACTTTCCGAGCCCTTTGTTGTTATGAATAATGTTATCATAGAATATTAAATTATTACTATTAAAATCGGTAACCACACGCTCAAAAATTGGATAAAATCAACTTTACGGTATCTTATGGTTAGTAAGGTAACTTGTGATTTATTATACGGTATACCTTGATGTAACGATATGGTTCAGCCAATCAAAGATAATTATTTTAGAAGACACGACACGGCACGGTGTAGGTGAACCCGGCTTTATACGTTTAATTCACATGTAATACATATATCAGGCCGTGGGCGGTACGTTTAAATACGACTCATCAGTTTTTTTTTTAATTTGAAGCGAGGGGGGATGGTTATCAGCCACGTCGACCTTTTCTGGATCGACCATAGTAAAATATGACCGAGGGCGCAGTTTGCACTTATTATAACTATTACGTTTCAGATCGTGGTGTTAGGAGTCACGGCGGTGTTGGTTAGCGCAGCGGCCGAGGACGAAAATAAGGCGGCGGGGAAGGGCAAACATAAGCGCGGAATCTGGGGCTTAGGATACGGCGGTGGCGGCTACGACGAGGGCCTGGGCTACGGTACACTGGGCGGATACGGGCTGGGCAGCTCGATCGGGGCGAGTTACGCGCCGCGCCACTATCCCGCGCACAACCACTACCCCACGCACATCCACACGGCCACGACCATCACGAAGAGCGTGCCGGTGCCGCAGCCGTACCCGGTGACCGTCGAGAAACACGTACCGTACCCGGTAGCCGCCCCGTACCCGGTCGAGGTGCCCAGACCGTACCCGGTGGCCGTACCCAAACCGTACCCGGTGGCCGTCGAGAAGCCGTATCCTGTGCACGTGGACAGGCCGTACCCGGTGCCCGTGCCCGTGGTCAAGCACGTCGGCGTCGCCGTGCCGCACCCGTACCCGGTCGAGGTCCACCGACCGTTTCCCGCGCTGCCGTTGCCCTTCCACAGGCCTCTGTACTCCGACCACGACCTGTGGTGAACGGGCCTTCGCTCACCGCCCTCACGCCAACCGTTGTATGTGAGTACGAAACAATGTAGCAGCGTGCAATAACTAACCCATCACGCCCATCCGGTTTGAAACCGATCGGGTTTACTCGAACCCGAGTGGATGGCCGATACGACTGGATACCGGATTCTTCGGCGTAGCACGTGATTGTGCTTGTGCGTCGGCTCAAATTTCGTTTGCGATACTCAACTCGTGTTGCGACGATCTAAAACGTTTTTAACGGAAATAATTCGTTAAACATTACCGATGAACAATAATACACAGGGCCGGATCAAGGGGGGGGGGGCTATAGCCGCGAGTCACAAGTTGAAAAGGGCCACGATAAGCTATTAATTTTTTTTTCATATAAAACGGCATCATATAAATATTTAAAAAAAACATAAATCTCATTATAATTTTCAACTATATACAAATAAACTTCTTTTTCTTCTTCTTATGTGCTTTTACAACTCTGTAAAAGTTTTAGTTGCCATCGTCATTGCTCTCCAATAATCACGATCCTGTATCCTTTCCTCCCAATCTGTTACTTCTAGCTTCTCTAGATCTTGCTGTACTCCATCCATCCATCGTTTCTTGGGTCTGCATCTAGGTCTTTTGCCTGTTGGCTTGTATTCAATTGCTGCTCTTCATTTGTTTGTTCACGTCTCATTATGTGTCCAAACCATTGGATTCTTTGTCCCTTTACATAACTCGTTATGGGAGGTACTTTGGTGATTTCTCCTATTTCTTTGATTTTTCTTCTATGTCACCTGTTTATTTCGGTATCAAAAACTGGTCTACATACTGTTCTTAGTACTCTATTCTCAAAACTTCTGAGTTTTCGTTCGATCTGCACTGCTGTTGGCCATACTTCGCATCCATAGGTTAGTATTGTTTTTACAATACTCATGTACGTACCGTCGTACTTTTGTTTCTCTAGAGAATATTTTCGATGTGAAGTATTTTATTAGTGAGAAAAAAGTTTTTTCCCCTTTGAGCAAGCGACTGGTTATTTCGGTGTTCCAGTCGTTGTTATCAGTGATTGTTATACCCTAGGTACTTAAAGCTATGTGCTTTCTCGAATACGTAATTATCTACTGTCTTCCTCATCTATTTCAGGCAACTTTTCCATTGCTTTGGTTTTCTCCTCATTTATTTCTAGACCAATCTTTTTTGTTTCCTGTATGAGTGTTTTGGTATTTCGCACAATCATTTCCTTGTTTTCTCCTACTAAATTTATATCGTCAGCAAAACCTAGCATTTCGTTTGTATACAAATAAACCAATTTTAATTAATATTTATTACAAACAACTAAATCTGGAAAAAAAAAATGGAATGGTTTTTTTTAAAAGGGCCTCACTAAAATTAATAGCCCCTTGATAATGTGACCGCGATCCAGCCCTGACAGTACGGGCTGAATCTGTCCTTGTTAAGGGCCTTGTCCCCGCAGATGCACGCGAGCCGACGATCACAAACGATGGTGTCGACTTGGACACGAACTCCGATGCGCCGTCCGATCGTTTCGCTGCGGAATTCTCGTTGCGTATTAGCGCGTATAAGCGTTCCGACACATTTCGCCGGTACGCACGTCGACGTTTTCAATAATAAAACTCGATGCATGTTCGTTCGGCCCGATTGATTTATTTGCGTGTTTCCAATCGCCTCGACGAGCGCACACGTAAACGCTTTGATTTATTAGCATCTCGTACATAATAATATGTACACGCACGCGTTGTACATTCCGTTCTTTCCAAACGCATATTCCCATCTTCGTTACGCGCTTACGAAATACATTATAATAATACCCGCGTCGTACATATGGGGTTTACGGTCCGTTCGTTTTATGGGTACACGATTTTCGTCAGCTATGAAATATTTATAATAACATATTTAAATTGTTTATACGTTTCAGATACGCGTTTTAAATATAATGTCAAACACACGTCGCAGAAACGGCCACTATGCCACGCACGCTACCGGACCATACGAATAGTTTCGAATCATTAACATTGAAATATGTAATACGGCTCACAAACTTCTACGGACTGTCAAAACCGAACGGGACCATTCGACGACGACTACTTATTCCTTCTTCGTTTGCAAATTTTCATCTCGAGGGAACTGAATGCTGTTACCTAAAGGGAAAAAAATATTAAAACACGTGTTTGCAATAGTGTATTGTTTAATTTTTTTTTTAACCGAAATATTGTCACGAATCTATGTAATATTATAATGTTCAAGAACACTGCACAGGATTACAAACAGAAACATATTATTATGACGAGCGTTATTTTGAAATGTCAAACCACCGACTTTGTTGTATAATATATTATAATTATTGTTTGAGAGAATTTTTCTTATCCGTAATGTTTTATTTTTATTTGTTACATTAATTTATTGTTTACACGAACTAAGTACATTTTTTTCAATATAACACGACCACTGTGCATTTTATGTCGAATTTTCGCTCATCTTATCCTTATTTTATTCCATCTTAACCTTCTTCAAACGATTGAGTTTAGAAATAACATTGTCGTTAGACTTATTCACGCGTTTGTATAACAACATTTTTTCATTTCTCATTTTCATTTTTCTACGTTTTACATATATTTTTACTAGTAAATATATAATTGTATAACATTTATGAACTATGTGAATTGAAAACTTTCTAAAACCATGTACCTACGATAATTTATAGTGTTGTTATAAGAGAATCGACCATGAATTTTTACTGAAAGGAATGGTCGAAAAAAATGCGTTTTAAAATGTTTTATATGATAAAAAAAAAATTGATAATAAATGAATTTTAGTGTATAAAGTTTTTTGTTTTTTCTTGAATATGGAGTAGTTATTTAAATATATTCGATTATTCGACTACTGGACGGAGATGGTCGGCCGCCCTATCGAAATAAAGAGGATGGCCGTCGAAACTTTCTCACAAAATATAAGAAAGAGGACCGACCAGGTACGAGTATTATCGAAAGTAAATAAAAACTATTCTATCTCTTACTTTTTTAAGTACTCTTTTGATTGTATCTCTGTCACCGTTGCCGTTGATCGGATTTTCTTCAATCCTTCTATAATACTTGATCATCGGTTCATTTGAACTTGTGAGACTAAGAACGCAAGAAACTTCCGAATACTTCTACCGACTCTATAAATCGATTGTAATTTATCACAATGGAAGTTAGAAATTACAATATGTGTATGGTCTACTATTTATTAGGTAAGATGAAAACATGAAATTTTAAATGCATTTTAGCAACACATTTTTAATCGCCTCAATATCTGTTACTTATGGTTTACAAATGTTTAGTTCTTTTAATTGTTATATATGTAATATATACTATTATCACTTGTACCCAAATCCAAGGTCATATTAACCAACAGGCAAGATAGGCAAATTCCCATGATCTCCGTTATTAGAGACCTTGGATTTTTATGAACATTTTTTTTTTTTTTTTTTTAATACAGCTTTCTCGGCATTAAATACATATAAGCAAAATATAATATTAAAAAAAAAAAAAAAAATAAACGTGAAATTTCACATGTTTTATTTTACCTAAAGGCCTCGAAATATCTAAATCAGCCCTTGTCCAAAACATTGAAAATGTATAATTCGTTCAGACGTAAATAAAAATCGTATTCGCAAAGAATATATCAATATATGTTTTCATGTTATTGTTTGCTGTTTGAATGTTATTTATACGACATATACTTGTAATTAAATATTGGCTATATGTGCCAAATCGCTTTAATGTCATGAAACCATTTTAGCCAACTGATTTAAATAGAAAATCAGACAACGGAATTTGGACATACTTTTCAGAGTATTGTTATAATTATTATTTTATTATTATAAGTATGACATAAGACATATTCAAACGAATGATTCATAAGCCAAAATTGGTCGATAGTTGGTCGCACTAGTGAAACCACTTCATAAGTTAACGTGTCCTATAACTTCTTGGGTACATATTTTCTTTGTCGAATATAAGACTATGAATACGACTAGATAGAGCCCCGATTTTATTTCTCCATATTCAATCGCGGTTTTATTGACTTTGTACATACCTGACGATAAATTTTTAATTCGAAACCAATCGTACATTACAAATATAAAAATACTCCAGGCTAAGCTTTTATTAATTTATTTGTATAAACTATTTTTTTATTTATTTATATATTAATATATTTTCGTATCGGTGATATTTTGTAGATACTATACCTATACCAAGTATGCTATACACGTATATATATATACTATGCGTGTATATATACACGTTATCTGAATATGTATTTCAAACTAATTTTTATGACAAATATAAAAATATAAGCATTTATTATAATTTATCAGGAATAGTTAATTCGTATGATAACTAATAACATTTTGTTTGATCTGTGAAATTCATATGATAAAATTATGAAATGAAAAACAAATAATAATAATAATAATAATCAAAACTAGAAATTATTTATTTATCTAGATAGGTATATAGTTAATCTTAGATGACAATCAGATACCTAATGTCTAATTTAAATTCTTCTTTTCCTTCGAATATTTTTCACTTATTTGGGGTCGGCCATCCTTCTCCTAAATCTCCATCCATCTCGATTTTCTACATCTCCTATAAATACCTAACAGCCCTTGTATCATTCTCAATCGCATCCAACCATGTCCTTTTTCCTTTTTAGTATTTCCCTTTATTTTTTTAGTTTTTTCTCTAGACAATGTCAATTTATCTAGATACTTATAAACACTGTCAATCACCCTTACAAAGTTATAATATTATACTGTATAGTTATTGTTTTTGATTTTATTAGATAATACAATAAGTAAAATCATTTTGGAACGATAACTATACAAATAGAGGTAAATTAAAAAATAAGAATAAAACAAAAACAACAATTAAATAATATGTTAAATTATAATCTGTGTCTGTTAGATAATATACTTAGGTATTTATAACACATTTATACATTTGTATCATATAAAAATAATAATTCAACAATTAATATTCCTACAAATATAATATGATATAAATTTTGATTACTAATTATCATATTGATAGAGCTATACCAATTATGCACCAACATATGTATACGTTTTTTCTACTATGAAACGGACGCATACTTAAATTTTTATTCAATGTAATATATTGATGATACTAATTATTACAAATAATAAAAGATAATAGTTGAGTAATATTTGATATGATTTTCAAACCGTTTCTAAATACTTATTCATTTTTAATCCTTTTTATCCTTCGACAATAATACATATAACGTGTACTAAAATTAAAATTTGATTAATTTACCACTTTTTCTATTATATTGGTTAAAAAAAAGGAGCAACATACCCTTTGCTTTATTTTGTAGCTCAACATTTTTAGTTTGAGTTGTTCACACGATATTTTGATTTCAAACTATACCGTTTTTGAAATAAAGCCAATAAATTATAACCCTATGATTATATGGGAAAAATAGTTTACAATTTTTGCACCTAGAATACTGATGATTTAATACGAAGTATACATAATAGTCTAAAAACTTATTATCATAATTTATTACGTTTCCTAGTTGGATTATTAAACGTAATCGAAAAATAAATATGAAATAACAGTATGATAATTCATTATTTCTTTCAAAAATAATATATCTTTTTGCATTCATTTTAGAGGTAATTATAAACTTTTAATAGGTATCTTAATCTCGAATTTTTAACCTGGACGATTAAAATGTTTATAATTTTAACTTATAAGCATGAAATCGGTAAAGAGTGATCGTTTAATAAATAAATATCTCGATTCAAATACATAATTATAACTGCTATTCAAAATGATGACATATAATGATGACATACGAGTAGTTATTTCAAAATAATGTTTCATTCTTTGTACGTAATAATGTTTCGCAGCTACTCAAAAAATATTTATTAGTTAAAAGTTTATTACTGTTGGAATTTAATGTACATTAAATCGACGCTTTTGAAGTAGCTAAAAGAGTGATAATCACAAGCAAGAAATAATAAATATAAACAGTATGTCAATCAGCAACATATGTACAGTGTTCAAATAAACAACTCAAACAAATACATTTCAAAAGTTATTTAAAGTTGATTATTTAGTGGTATTATACATCTGAATTGCTAAAATTTCTTATTTCACTATTTTTTGATTAAAATTTTTGTTTCTGGTAATTAAGAATATAATTATACATAATTTTGTATGTAATGATTTACAAAAAAAAAAAAAAAAAATAATAGATGTATTTAAAAATTGAGATTGAATTATTTAATTTAGAATATAATATTGCCATTGTTTTTACATTTGAAGGGTTACGAGGAAAATTATAATAATCAATATTCCCAAAATGTTTAGTATTGTAATTTAAAATGTTTAATACTCAAAAAGCTAAGAAATAAAGATGAAATAATTTAAAAAAAAAATTACTGTGGTATATCAATGAATTTTTGATAAAATCAATAAAAAAATTAAATTTACTATTTAATAAAAATTAAAAGATGATATAACATCGGTTTTTTTTTTTTTTTTTGGTTGATTATCGTTTCTGCCTGTAGCCATTCATTTGCCATGTCGAAAATATAAGAAAAATTGTATCATAATTTATTTATAATAATAGGAGTATAAAAATCAAGATAATTAAATTTATTATTTTAGCATATGTGTAACAAACGAGTTTTTTTTCATTTGGTAATTTATTAAATGTATAATGGTAAAATAAAACATTAATGAATATGAGAACCTATGGCGCCACTTGTTCGGTGCTTTGGTGTTTATAGGTATTATAAAATAATGGGAACATTTTTTCAATCATCTGTAATCGTTTGAAAAATATATAATTAAATATAACTATGAGATAACCAGACCTATGTTAAATTATATATCAATTTGCTACGTTCGATAAAGTTGTATTCAATTAAATAAATAGCAATAAAAACAAGATAATTTCTTGTGTAAAAATAATGCAATTATGTAATGTATCTATCTGTTGTAAAAAATTGTAAGAACATGTAACGCCCGATAGTTACAAAAACAGACAACTAAACAAACATGGTGGATCGTGTACGTAGGTAATGTAATTATTACATTTTTTTCCAAAACCTTATAATTATTATTATTCACGGTCAGAACTGTCCCACGATGGTATCACGTAAGACCAAATAAGTATTGTGACACAAACAAGTAAATCATTCGGTTTATTCCAGTATCAAATAGGTATGATTTGCGTGAAGATAGAATAACATTTATATTTCGGACAGGTTTTCGCGTCACTTTGACTGGTTTTACTTCAGCATTACACTTACGAGTATGACAAACATTAGCTACTACGAATTTCGAGTAAGTGACGAAAATATAGTTTTCCTTAATTTACACGTGATTCGTATAACCCAGTTTGTAATTACACGTAAATCTATTTCCTGTAGACGAAAA